CGCCTTTCCTTGTATAGTTTGCGTTGGAGTTTTGGTTTTGCACGTTACTTTGCTCCGCGTTCTTCTTGGCGATTGGGCTGTAGGCCTTGTTACCAAGGTCTACCTCCCTGCAGTATGGTCCATGGGGGGCCTGTAGGGTTCCCCATCGACACACGGGGAAAGAAAACTTACGAAGTCAATAAACTCCGGTTCTGGCCGCATTGGGGGATGCCCTGGCACCTGATACACATAATCAAGGACGACGTCAGCGGTGCCCTTCGAAGGCTCCATCACCTCCTTGATGCGCTGCGCCACTTCAGAGGGAGGGAGCACTTCGTCGACAAGCACCGTCCCTTCGAACGACGCTCCAGGCACCATTTGGTGCAAGGGAAGTGCGCGCGCCATCAGCAGCGCCACCCTCCTCGCGTGGTAGGCGCCGATAATCCCTAATCTCTGAGCCTGCCACGACACACCGCTGTGTCACGTCGCGGGATACGCGCCCGCAATCCCTATCCTTTCCCACCAGGCCGGACGGTTCGCCTTCCCCAGGCAGGCCGGGACTCTTTTCCCACCGAGGGAATATGGGTCAAAAGGCCTTTTTCTCTAGCCCGCCTAGGCCCAGAAGTCCAAGGGCCGGCCTGACAGTGTCGACAGCCGCCCCAACGAGGGATGGGCCCACGAGTGACCAGGACTTAGGTACACGAGCATCAGGGGAGTCTCGATCCACAATCGAGTCCTAGCCAGGCTGACCCTGGATGAAATCCCCATGAACGGGATACCAGGGTTCCCTTAAAACTATCCAGCTGATAAAAACCGAATCTCACAGCCTTACCCGCGAAAGGGTCCGAAATTACCCCCCGGGCGATTCTATCCGAATCACCCGGGGGCTCGGGGGCTACACCCGACGAGTGCGCTTGCGCACACCCTCCGGCGAATCAAAATACCCCTTGGGCGATTCTATCCGAATCACCCAAGGGATCAGAGGCTACACCCGTCGGGTGCGCTCGCGCGCACCCTCTGGCGAATCGAAATACCCCCCGGGCGATTCTATCCGAATCACCCGAGGGCTCGAGGGCTACACCCGTCGGGTGCGCTCGCGCGCACCCTCTGGCAAGTCAAAATACCCCTCGGGTGATTCTATCCGAATCACCCGGGGCTCGGGGGCTACTGTCGGGGATCTAATACCGGGGTACCCAATGAGGTGGAACTAATAACCATTGAACGTTGATGCTTCCGGTCAGACAAGAACGCTACTACGCTTCTTGCCCAGACGATGGAAGATTGGGTCCGCCTCACCCGACCCCCGAGGGCTAGACTCCGCCTCGCCCAATGGCTAAGGGCTGGCTCCGCCTCGCCCGATCCCCGAGGGCTAGACTCCGCCTTGCCCGACGGCTAAGGGCTGGCTCCGCCTCGCCCGATCCCCAAGGGCTAGACTCCGCCACGCCCGACGGCTAAGGGATGGCTCTGCCTCGCCCGATGTCCGAGGGCGGCCTCCGCCTCGTCCAACGACTGAGGGCCGGCTCCGCCCCACCCGACGTTTGAGGACTGGTTCCGCCCCGCCCGACGTCCAAGGGTGGGATCTGCCTCGCCCGACGATTGCACCCTACTCCTTCATGATGACAAGCACAGGGTACGACAGGACATTTGAGTCAACCACAGTACCGAGGACCATGCCCTGCATGCCTGCAGGAAGGTACCGTCAGGATACGTTGGGACGGACGCTTTAAGCCCTTTCCGACATAACAGTGTCCGAATAGTATTGTGGGCACCAACTTTTGTCCCACAGTGTAGTAGGCGCCACCTTCAGCCCTCGGGCGCAGATACTAACACAGGCATACAACAACTGCTACAATCCAAGGGAAAACTCACATCATCTATAGTAACAGGTGTATAGTCGTCTCCACATCCACTCCGCTCAGAGTCATGGCTCGGCGCCCTGACACCAGGCACCGTCTGTCGGGGAGGATGAGACGTAACCACTCGCTGAAGCAGGGCCAGGGCATGGCCCTGTCAGGGTCAGCGAACGTGCCATCTCTGGCACGGTCTACCATGACAGCGGTACAGGCTCAAGGGAAAAGGAAAGCTCGGCACCTTCGAAGGGCGGCCTCCACCTTAGGTTTTTTCCTCTTTCTCCCATCTGTAAACCCCCTGCTCCCCCTTGGTCTATAAAAGGGAGGACAGGACTCCCCACGAGGGGGGGATCAGTTCAACACACACAACACATCACGCATACAGCCAAGCAGCGCCCAAGCTTTTGGCGTCCTTTCGACCATTCCATCAGAGACTTGGGACCTTTCCCTCTCTCGACCGTTTGTACCTCCTACTACGAACCTTTTTTAGTACTAATAACACAAGCAGCAGCAGACTGGACGTAGGGACGTTCAGCCCAAACCAGTATAAACCTTGTGTCCTTTAGTGCACCATCCGGGCCTAACGCGCAACAATTATAAATTTACTAGCCGGTGTTTGTTCGAAACACCGACATGGTGCTTAGACTCGGTTACTCATGGATGTACCCTACTTTCCGGATCGATGATAGCTCACGAGGGTGACTCTTATAGCCTCATTGAATCCTTTGTGTCCACCTCCCGTTAGTAGGCCTAGCAGGACCTTGTTATTATAGGAAACATACTTTGCCTGTGTTTTCTCTATTAATATCCCCAGAATTGAACAATAGAAGACAAAGCTTACCGAAGTTAGAACTAGAAGACGTTAGTAGTCTCCTCTACGCTTCTATTATCTAGCCTTGATTGTGAAGTTGGGATAAGTTAGATTTTGTTATTCTCACACACGTTTCCTTGAGTTCGATATAAAACTGGTACTCCCAGTGAAGTGCAGCATCGGTATAATATCCGTGCTCTTGCGGATTATTTTGTGTGCATTAATTTATACTAACAACCTAGTGAGACACCATCGAGCTTTATGCCCATAATTCAAGCAGGCCTTGCAATAGATTTGCTGAGAGCACACAACCGATGAATGGCCTTGGCCAAGTCCATGTTGACAAGAAGAGGAGCCCAAGGCAAGTTTAGAAATGGCAGGCGATGAATGTGGCAAATCTCTTGTCAGTTAAAAATTTGAAAGTGCAGGAGTAGCAGAACTCGGGTGAAGATCATGGCTCAGATCAACGACAACTGTAGGAGAAAACCCTAATAGAATGTGATTGAAAACCACTTTTGAACTAACTTGACTATGATCACTGAGCACATTCAAACCAAAACTGAGACGGCAACTCTAAAAATCTACTGGAACCTTAACACTGAACTCACCAAAAGAGATAGTTTCAGGCACACCACTGACTTTTATCAGAGATGATCTCTGAATCAACTGAGGAGCAAAATGCACTTTTTCTGATACTTGGAAATTCTCTTTTGACATTTAAAGAGAACTCTAGTCCATTTGCTCCATTTCTTCCTCTCAAAGGCATTTTTCCTTTGCCAGTGGGCCACACCATTGCTCTAGAGATGAAAATAAGCATCAAAACTTTGCCTAATAAATCACTTTAATTTGTTTATGTGAAAACCAACCAACTTGTTGGCAACTGAGAAACGAAAATGACGATTTAAGGAATTTGACATGAGAACAAAAGCTAGCGATCCACCAAGACACGAGGTCAGTGCAAAAGCCACACTATCCTCAGTGGGCCAAAAAGTATATCGACAAGTAACTAGAAGAAAGGAAGATCCCTCCGAGCAAGCATCAGCGTGATGAAGCAAACAACCAAACAGTAGAAGAATCTCTTTTCGAAATTTCTTCCCATGGGAGAAATCCAATTTGTCCTTCAAGGCTAAAGGAAGATCCATCAAGAAATCAGCGAAGACGAAGAGAGAAGAAAACCGGAGAGGACGTCAGAGCAACACAATGACAGCTACGGCAGGATCACGGTGGCGGAAGAGGAAGCATCACTGTGGGGAGGAGAGCCATTCTTGTTTATTAGTTGCTTGTTTTAGACTATATTGAGAACTACAACTTTGATATATATATCATGGCAATATCCGAGGTTGTTTGAAAATTTAAATTAAAAAAATTAAGAACTTTAAATAATATTTTAGGACTCTAAACAGTTTCAAATTAGAAACTTCTTAACTACAAAGTTGTAGATTGCGTCGAGGGCTATAATTTTGATATAATATTTGTCTTCATATGAAAAAGTTACGAATTAGTTTTGGATACAACTATTTTTATAGGCGGGCATCTTAAATAGCCCGCCTCTGTAATTCATTGTCAGAGATAGGCACCGTAGAATACCCGCCTCTTTTAATTGGCTATTAACAGAGACAATTATCTTAGGATTCCTATCTTCAAAAAAGATTGACAAAGGTATTGAATAGCAACTAATGCTTATGTTTCGTAAAATTCTAGCATGTACGAGAGCAGGAGTTGATAGACTAGTATTCTTAGTGTACTTAGAAAAGACTAAAAACAACTTATAATTAATTTAGAACTAGTGCAGTAGTAGCTAGTAGTTGTGCATACCTGTCAGTTGCATACGCACTGCACGGGATCAATACACATTTGGTTTTAAACTAGCTTTGCAATGATGAGGATATTATCCATGTATTGCACGGGATCAGTACATGTACTGGTTTCCAGTTGCACCAAATCCAATCCTACTTTTATATATGGAATCACTCCAGCCTTCCTGTGTGTGGCCTTCGATGTGAACGAGATTATTTGCAGGAATTATATTGTTTACAAGTAACATGCCATAACTGCCAAGATTTGATTCTATAATGGTACTACTACTCGCTCGTTAACCGACGCCTTCCATTCCTCCATGATTCGCGCGGTGCCCATGTGACGCGACGGACCTCGCGAGCTCCTCTAACGCGGGTCAGGTGTAGCGACCATCGAGATGATGCCGCGGCCGGACGGCCGGCGGATTGGTAGTTCAAGCGTCCCCATTTTCCTGTCCTGTGCCTGCCTATAAATACCATCCCAGCAATGTCCTCCACCTCACACCATCAAAACACAAACCAGGCAAGCAAGCCGAGGTCCCTAGCTAGGTAGCTAGTGCAACAATGGCCACCGCGCTCTCCTTCAAGGCCTTTGCAGTGGCCGCGCTCCTCTCCGTGGTCGTCACCTATGGCGCTCGCGCCCAGCAGCAGCAGCCCGACCACAACGCCACCGACTCGCAGGACAGATCCTTGTTGTCCTACAGCAGTGGCTGGCTGCCGGCCAGGGCCACCTGGTACGGCGCGCCCACCGGCGCCGGCCCCGACGACAACGGTAAGGATCCTCATTCTGCATCTCTCCATGTTGTTGTCCATTGCAATGTGGTTCATCCCATGCCATGCCATGTCTAAATTGTCTTGTTGGTGGTGCTGAATCTTTGCTAGGTGGTGCGTGCGGGTTCAAGGGCACCAACCAGTACCCGTTCTCGTCCATGACGTCCTGTGGCAACGAGCCCATCTTCAAGGACGGCAAGGGCTGCGGCTCATGCTATCAGGTGGGGTGGGTGTGTCTGGGTGATAAACCGTTTTTCACCACGGTCGTCACGGCCGACGATCGACCATGTCATTATAGTATGATTATATTAGTTGGTGCCCAAGCATTTTAATTATTTGGTTGGTCAAATGAATTGAAGATACCAACCAGTAGCTAGCGTCCGTAGCGCGCGCCTTAGATTGCTCATCAGTTCAGGACAACGTGCATCCGCTGACCTTGTGCTTGGCTTTCTCTCTTTCCCAGATACGGTGCCTTACGAGCAACCACCCCGCCTGCTCCGGCGTGCCGCAGACGGTGATCATCACCGACATGAACTACTACCCGGTGGCCAAGTACCACTTCGACCTCAGCGGCACGGCGTTCGGCGCCATGGCCAGCTGGGGCCTCAACGACAAGCTCCGCCACGCCGGGATCATCGACATGCAGTTCAGGAGGGTGCCGTGCAACTTCCCGGGCCTGACCATCACCTTCCGCGTGCAGCAAGGCTCCAACCCCATGTACCTGGCCGTGCTCATCGAGCACGAGAACCAGGACGGCGACGTGGTGCAGGCGGACATCATGCAGAACAACTCCGGCTACTGGGAACCCATGCACGAGTCCTGGGGATCCATCTGGAGGATCGACCCCAACCGCCCGCTCCAGGGGCCCTTCTCCATCCGCATCACCAACGAGTCCGGCAAGCAGCTGGTGGCCAAGGACATTATCCCGGCCAACTATGTCGCCGACGTCGATTACCGCTCCTACGTCCAGTATACTAATTAACCGACCACGGTCGATCTGCATGCAACCGTCCGAGCTCATTGCTGGGGCGCCTCTTAAGTGTTCTTGTTTAATTAGTGGCTCTGCCATTATTGGCAACCGGACTGAGGATTTTTCACCTCAACTCCGTCGTGGTGTGTGAGCTAGTGTGTCCTGAAGATGCGTGGGAAATTAGAGGAGGCAAGCATCAATGTGCTCTCCCGCCCACTCACTCTACCATCACCAGAGTGTGTAACCAGCAAATCATGGTTATCCATATAATTTATACTACTATATATCTGCTGCTATTTAACTACCATACCATGTTGCCTTCTGTGTGAAAAAGGGTTCTCTCTTTTCGTGTGCACGCATTTTGGCTTTATTCGACTATAGTTTCACTACTACACTTGCCGTCTAAGTGGGTGTTTTGATGCAGGACTAAAATTTAAGAGATGTTATATGAGGTATCACATGGGGTATTCGTATACTAATAAAAAAATAAATTACAGATTTCGTTAGTACTCCGCGAGATGAATTAATTAAGCATAATTAATCTATCATTAACATATGTTTACTGTACACCATATTATCAAATCATAGACTAATTAGGCTTAAAAATTCGTCTCATAAATTAGTCTTAATCTATACATTTAGTATCGTAATTAATCTATATTTAATACTCTGTGTATGTGTCAAACATTGATCGGAGGTAACCAAACACCCCTGGACTCCCCGATCGTTGTGTGGTGTAGTAGTAGCATGTAGGAGTGCAGCAACATTATGGCCATACTCAACCAACTATGTCACGGCCAGGGGACCTGTGCCTCTCATAAATGAATTGACTTTCTGATCAGATGATTGGGGTCAGTATTTTTGCTATCCTAGTACAGGCTGCTGGTCTGTAGCTGACTTGGAGTGCGCCTCTTTTCTTCTTAGCGCAGCTACTTCCTTCTTCCCTAAATATTTATCGTCGTGATTTACGTGTTGATAATTTTGACTCGATTTATAGAAAATACGTACAATATTTTTACCTCTAAATAAATTTATTAAAAAATTAGGTTCAAATATCTATCAATGATACTAATTATGTATCATAAATATTAATATTTTTAATATATATTTAGTCAAAATTATTTTTCGAGAAACGAAAACGACATACATTTAGAAACGAAAACGACGTTTAGAGATGGAGACAGTAGCGACTAGCGAGCCACCCATCAGAGAACAGATATTGAGATGACTGGTTAACGACGACAAGCTTTTGATGCTTTTCTGATATCCAGGAGATTTGACTGCTGTGTGCAGAGAAAAGTTCATCATAGTTTTCACTGCCACCGCAAAGGCCAAAGGGTGCAGTGCAGTAGCATATTCCCTCTGTCTATAAAAAAAATCATTCTCGTTTAAAAAGCCAGTAACTTTTAGCTTTAATCAAATGTATTTAACAAAATAATAATATTTATGATATGTAATTAGTATCATTAGGTAGAGCGTTGAATATATTTTTATAATAAATTTATTTATAAATATAAATGTTGTACGTATTTTTTATAAATCTAGTTAAAGTTAAAAAAAAATTGACCTGCACGATTACCGTAGCGACTCTACTTAAGAGACGGAGGGAGTATGGCCCCGTTCGCTGACAGTAAGTGCTTTGATCGAAAGCAAAGGAAGGATACTGCAAATCTCCCAACAAAAGTCGCTTTCCCGCCAAACGCTTTGCGCAACCGATTCCATAACCGTCAGTCCTCGAACTAATCATGCACGGATCTTACTTTCATGCGGGACGCCGAGGAAATTGTCGCGAAAAAGTAAATCGTGTGCTACGGTCCTACTACTGGATTCGAGCCGTGATTACCGGCGGTGCTAAACCCCATGTTAACATAACATGGCTGAATTAATAGAAGCTTCGATGAGCAGAGACGACTTTAATTCTCACTCTTGTCACCGCGTCAGTAAACGCGGCCACGTGATGCATGCTGAAGAAAAATGGCTGGTCGAGCTTCTCTAATGTGAACACACACATTATAACGATGATCGAGAATGGATCTAGATTCAGGGGGGCATTCAGGATGCAAATGATACTTTGCGCCACTTAATGAGCCATGATTCTCGCAGAATACACATGGACATGGTGACATGGATGGACTTATTTTGCATATATCAACCTTTATCTCTACAAAATAATCCTGACATCAGTCTCTATTTCAATGTCATCCGAAAAAAAATAATATTAGTGCATTCTTTAAAGCTAACAATACCTCAAACATCCACCAAGAAGTAGGCCATGTAGCCGCCACTACTGCAGAAAATTTAACCGAGACGGGTAAGCCAACCGCCTCATCACGGTTAATCAGGCCTTAACGACCAACCGCCTCGGTAACCGAGGGAGTCACAGTAAAAAACCCGTCTCCGTAAATAATTTTGCGAATTTTTTTTTTTTAAAAAAAAAGCCCGGCGAGTCTGGTGGCCCACCGAGCCCGCTGCCTCCGCGTCCGTGCCGCCACCGCCGAAGAAGGGCCGAGCTCCGCGCCGCACCTCTGCCACCGGATCCGGTCGGACCACCACTGGATCTGCGCCTCCAGAACCAGATCCGGTGCGTGAGGGAGGAGGGGCGCTGGGATCTATTGCGTGGGGGAGGAGGGATCCGTCGTCGGGAGTAGGGAAGAAGGGCCGCTCGTGGATCCGCTGCTAGGGGGAGGAGCGGCACCGTAGCCTACTCGAATTGGGGCAGGGGCATCACCACTGGATCCGTGCCTCCACAACCAGATCTATCGCCGGGGGAGCACGTGCGGCCAGATCCAATCGCTCCACCATGGAGGAGGGACGCCGGTCGCGGTGCCACGCTAGGAGCCCACGAGGCCGCGCTGCGCTCGCGCCCACGAGGTCGGGCCCTCCAACACCGCAGCGGAGAGAGGAGAGGGAGGGAGAGAGTGAGAGAAGTGAGGGAGAACAGAGATCCATGAGAGAGGGCAGGGAGACGTGGGTTTGTCCAGTGCGACTGCGCGAGGGGGAGAGAGAGAAGTGAGAGACGAAATCCTAAGTGCTAGCTTATATATGAGCCGGCTAGACTGCTAGGTATGGGCTTTTGCGTTGGCTCGAAGTTGAGCCAGTAATTTTGGAGGCGGGCCTTATAGTACGCCCGCCTCCAAAAATAAATTTACAGAGGCGGTTGTGTTACGACAATCGCATCGGTTAATATTAATTAACCGAGGCGGTTGCTTTAGAACGACCGCCTCGCTTAATAGATAAATAGAGGCGGTTGCGTTAGGGCAACCGCTTCGATAAATAGGCATTAACTGATGCGTTTGCGTTACGTTTTCCACCTCGGTTAATCATTAGCCTAGGCGGTTGCTTGGCCCGCTGCCCTGCCACAAATAACCGAGGCGGGTAATCGGCCCAACCGCCTCGGAGCCTAGAATGCAAACGTCTTGGTTAAGTTTCTGTGTAGTAGTGCGCTCAAGGCACCAGAAAGAAGGTGTTGCGGGTCCTTGCGCTCTCTAAAAATCTAATTACATCTGAGCAGGTGTCGCAGACGGGACATCAGTTTCAGAGGTCTGCTCTTCCAACATCTCTGTGCAAGCAGGAGATCGGAACAGGAAAACTTGAAGCAACAGGAGATCAGAACCAAAAAAACTTCGAAGCGGCAGGAACAGAGAAGATGCGGTGGTTCTAATTAACTTCTATGCACGCAGGAGATCGAAACGTGAAAACTTGGATGTAATAGGAACAAAGAAGGGGGAATTTCTTGTGAGCCATTAAAAAAGATTACAATTCTCTATGAGCCACTAAAAAAGTTCAGCGGACTTCAGCGCCACTGCTCCAACTTTTTTTTTTTGCCCTCCATGCCACTGCTGTCAGATTGGGCTCTAACGGTGTCAAACTGCAGGTGTGAAAAGTCGAAAATACCCTTAAGTCTAAATATGTCATTAATTTTTTTTGAGCATCTTAACAACTTTAAATGAAAAAACTCAAAACTAGAAAGTTGTAGATCTTGTCGAGATCTATAATTTTCATATAAAAATTATCTTTATTTAATTCCGCAAAAAAAGATATGATTTGATATGATTAATATATCTTAGAAAAATTATATCTTTTTTTGGTATTAAAAGAAGATAATTTTTATATGAAAATTATAGATCTCGACGAGATCTACAACTTTCTAGTTTTGAGTTTTTTTATTTGAAGTCGTTAAGATACTCAAAAAAAATGACATATTTAGATTTAAGGGTATTTTCGACTTTTCACACCTGCAGTTTGACACGTTAGAGCCCAATTTGACGGCAGTGGCATGGAGGGTAAAAAAAAAGTTAGAGCAGTGGCGCTGAAGTCCATTAAACTTTTCCAGTGACTCACAGAGGACTGCGATCTTTTTTTAATATTTCACAAGGAATTCCCCCAACAACGAAGGTGCGGTAGTTCTGACCTCTTTGTGTGTGCAGAAGATCGAAACTGGAAAACTTGGAAGTAGCAGGAACACATAAGGCAGTGGTTCTTTGTGGAGATTGGAACGTGAAAACTTGGAAGTAACACGAACAAATAAGGTGCAATAGTTCTGACGTCTTTGTGCGCGTAGAAGATCAAAACTAGAAAACTTGGAAGTAGCAGGAACCCAGAAGGTGCAGTGGTTCTTTGTATTGTCTGCTCTTCCAACCTCTCTGTGCGCGCAGGAGATCGGACGGGAAAACTTGGAAGCGCCCGAAATAAAAATAAAAAAACTCTTCCAACCTCTCTGTGCGCGTAGGAGGTCGGACTAGAAAACTTGGAAGCGTCCGGAATAAAAAAAAAAAAAGGTGCGGTGGTTCTAACCTTCCAAGTGGCACAACTAAGACCACCCCGCACCACATCATGTCGTAGCCCAAACCCGAGCATGGCTCGGTGAGTCGGTGACAACACGGGCAGGTCACACGTCCTTCACCTCTCTCAACTTCGCAATAAGTGTACACATGGGCACCATATTTAAGCTAAGTCAATGTTTGGTCAAAGTACCAAATGGAGCTAAAATTTTATTGCACCTAGCTTTTAATATGGGTATTACGATTTATTTGATTTAATTCAATTAAAAATAGGCTTATCCCAAATTAAATCCAACAATTTTAAGAGATGGATCGAAATACTATTGTAGGTTGACGTTTCTAAAATTCTTCCATGAAAACATGCTCGGGCACGGTCGCGGAAAATAAAAACCCATCGCCTGGCTGTAGCTGTAGCTGGAGGCAACAAAGACCGCTTTTGCAATCCACCAGTCAAAAATTGCTTGCGCTGTGAGTATTATTTGCACGCAGAGTTTTTTTTTCTTGTACGGATAAACTCGAGATACGCAAATCTTGCCTACCAGGCATCCAGCACTTGAGCCCCCACCATTTTATCTCTTCTTGTCGGAGCAGCGACGCGACGATAGGTGACATCGAGCCGAGGAACGCGACGGGGCAACTTGGCTTGAGCCGCAGCCGGGCCCGGGGGCCGCCGCATGCCGCATGTGCGTGCGGGGGGCGCGAAAAGCCGGACGCCGACGGCGCCGTCTCGCTCTCGCGTCGCGCGCATGTGAGGTGCGGGCCACCGCGAGAGCAACCGCTCTGCCGGCCGGCCGGGCCGCTATCGTCTGGGGCCCCGCCCGGGCAAGCTGCTGTTGCGCCCGCGGCGGGGAGTTTGTGCCGCGCACGCACGGGGCTTTCTGTTCTGCGCTCTACGGCGGGTATGTCCACGGTCCGTGCACCGCATGCGTCAGCCTGCAGCCTGCTGCATGTTACTCTTGGAGACTAGCTACAGTGTGTACATCGTGCGTGATTTGACTAGCTCCTTTCAGTAGCTGCGTAGTACGCCGAATGATTGAAGCATGGGTGTGTGTGGTTTTGTCATGATCGTGCGTAATTGACTGAGCAGTAACGAAACTTACATGGCACTCCATGATATCCTGCGGGGATTATGGTTGATGATATGGTGATAAGGTCAAGTTGCATTGCGCACGTACTCCCAATGATAGCATTCGGATCGATCGGTGGCCAGAATCGGGGCCGGTTTCCAGGCGTTGGTTCGTGCTAGACTGCTAGTACCAGCAAGCTATAGCTTCGTCCGTTGCTAACTACTTGGCAGACGGAATGTTTGAACAACTGAATGAAGATAAAAAAAAAGAAGAGAAAAATAATGGAGGTTGGTCGGAAGCACTGAACTGAAACAAGTACGTAAACTACATGATTTCAGAGATTGGCATTCCTTTGTCTATACGAATGAAGAAAACAAGGGCGCGCGAATGGCCGGGGATGATATGCTCCACGTCACGGGTGAGGAGGTTCGAACTGCAAACCACACGTACGCTAACTGAATTTGGCAGTGCACTGAGGAGCTAGCTAGGGTCAGCGAAGTTCGCTGATGAGTCCTTCAGATATTGGCAATCTGGCATGGCTTGCAAGTTTAAGCAAGCAAACGTGCACGTGCATGCAGGGTTTCTTGTGGTCGAGAAATGAAACACACACAACCCGCAGGAGGGGCGTGGACTGCGGCGCCCGGGCGGTGCGTGACTGCGTGGCGTGCTCGTTTATCACGCACCCCCGTGATCGCCGGTTATTAGGGGTAGTGAAGTGATGTGATGCGCACGCTGATCGTGTCAGCTGGTATGGAAATTTCTTCCCAGCTCACATGGGTCTGCAAGCTGCTCGACGCTCGCTCCAGAAGCATGGAGATGCATGCCGACCGCTCAACCTATACTGTCTATGAAGTCGATCTGTTGCGGATCGGAGCCGGCCGGGGCAATGATCCTCGGAGGAGGTGCCGGACGTGCGTACTACGTGTCAATGACCAAACGCATCTCTTGACACTGACAGAAAAAGGCGCCTACACTAAACTGTTTATGCGTGCAACAAGGCCGGGGACAGTACCTGCATGCAACAACTAGTACCTGACGATACATGGCACTAGCAGTGCTCTGCGACCATCGGACGCCCAATACGTACAACAATGTCTCATTGTCTGAATCCGTTTCCTGCACCTGCTTTGGGCTTTGGCGAACAAACAACCAGCAGCAGCAGGCCGAGCATTGAAAAGGTGAAAGCGGCGACGGAGCGGCCTCCCCATGTGCCCCCGCGCTCCTCCGCCCGCCTCCCCCGTGGCCCCATCCATCCAACCGATGGATCGGAACGGAAGCAGTAGCGCGACGTTGTTTTCGTGTGCCCCGTGTTGTCCACGGCGCACCGGACGATGCCACGCGACGCAACAAGACTAACTACCGGGGCGGCCGTTGCGTTGATGCATGGGCATGGTGGCGCGGCCCCGTGGTTGGTCCGGAATATAACGACCGGCTAACGGTCGGGGGAGCCTTCCCTTGATCGGCGTTGTCGGTGTTTTGCTTTTGGTCCGTTGCTTGTGTTGTGTGCGCTTTTAATGATGGCTTTTGGCGGTGTGACCGCCATGTGACCGCATTGCGCATTGGTACGTGCTCTGTCGCTACCGTGTCGTCGGCATGGACATGCCCATCATGCATAAATCACGCTGCAACGGATTTACAACAGCATGCCTAGCCTAGTCTTTGAACCTCGCCTAACGTATCATCTCCATTCTAAATTATAAGATACTTTAAGTTTTTTTTGTAAGATATATATAGTGTCTACTTAGATATACATTATATCCGTAAAAGCCAAGTATCTGGAAAAACCAAAACCTCTTACCATTTGGGATGCTAGACCTTTAATTACATGTGCAGAAATTCTATAAAATCTCAAAAGCCCATTTGTTCATGTTTCTTAATGGGTTGTAATGTTTAAGCCCACAAATGGATGTGAAAGATGCAACATATCAATTAATATCGTATCGCTAATTAATATGTAGCATAGACGTGTCATTTATATGAGCAAAATTAGTATAGGCACGGGTTAATGTATAGTTACAGTAAGAGGCAAGAAGATACAGCGTACCAAAGATATAATTCCGGTAGAATATGGCTTCAGATTCAATGCGAGAATCGAATGACTATGCGATAGTTGAAAAAAGTTGTTTTTGCATGTCATAATAATCAACCATATTGCAGGATGTAATGTTCTCAAATTACACCACCAGAATAAAACCAGAAGCTCAAAAATGAGAATATATTGGTCTACAAGTGAATCAGAAATTCGCTTCAGATAAAAGAACTACAAACATGCAGTTACATGTGTTGTTCAGTTGTTGCATAGCTTCAGAAGGTGGTTTCAAAAATCCACACGCATGCACAGCGCAAAACTATGAAGTTAGCGCATAATCATTTGTCAACATCCTAGTAGGTGGAAGAGTAGCTAAGACATTTGACCGACTCAAAAGGCACTAGAACAAACGACTCAAAACAGAGTAGCTAAGACATTTAACAATGCTAGTTGTAACTAAACTCGGGGCTGGCTTCGAATGCCAAAGGCACCCAAATGCACACTGGAAACGAAAAATCGGCCCTCTTTGGCATCCACAGAAACGAAAAATGGGCCCTCTTTGGCGTCCATATGTACACTGGAAACGAAAACTGGGCTCTCTTTGGCGTCCATAAGCACACTGGAAACCAAAAAAAAAAAAAGGCCCTCTTTGACATCCATATGCACACTGGAAACGCAAACTGGGCCCTCTTTGACATCCACAAGTAACAGCCCTGACCCTTAGCAACTGGAAAGGAAAAATGGACCATGACGACTATAGCGAATAGGTGACAATTAGCCACTGCGTTCCGAAGCATTGAAAATGCAACAAAGACAGATATAGCTAGCCACTACAAAGTGTGTGGCCAGGAAAAATAATGCTCACTTCAATAACAGGTCTCAATGTAACATATATTCCTATCTTATAGTTATTAATGAATAAAAACAGATATGGTTCTCTACACTTTTACCAAACCAGGGCACCAATGGCTTCCAGCAACGCATAGACAACCCCAGGAGCTCGAAACAAAGTCCCACACGAACCACTGCTACAAAATGCCAATCATCAGTCCATCAACAGTAGATGAGCTTCAATGGCATCCTCTCGTACGGCTGACCAAAGTAAAACCACCCTGGTGGCCTGGCACAATAAATGAGTTATCACAGCTCCGTAACAAAATTATCCTAACCACTGGAGGCGTTAGAGATTCTTCAAGCAATACCTCACCAGCCAAGATGCTACATCCAATCTATAGATATTGCCATCTGAGATTCTCTTCCTTGCAAAATGTACTTCCAGTGAAGCAATGCCTCGGTCTACTCCCCAGTTTTCTTGCTCCGGAAATTCTCTCTCATTGCTGCAACCTTTTTCTTGCATTGGACTACAGTTTTGCCTGGGACAGCAGCAGCCACACGCTCCCATCTTTGGCTTGCATCCTTGGGAAAAGCCTTCAAAGCTTGGACTAGAGCCAGGACCTGCGCCTCTGTCCAGGCATCTGGATCTGCCACAGATGGTGCTCCATCCGGGACAGGATCAGCAGCAGCTTTCCCATTGGCTGTCTGGCTACTCGCAGGTTGTGCCGCGGCCTTTGACGATGCAGTCCCAGCTCCCTCAGTTGAGGAACTAATTTCATCCCGGGTCGAAAGAGGTGAAGCAATAGATTGGGCCGGTTTGCGCTTCTCAAGGAAAGAGTCAAAAGCTTTCGATGAGTCTGGTTTCTGAAGAAGAACACTCTTAGTGGCCTTGAGAATTTCCTCAACCGATCTGTTAGTTCCAATAAATTCTGAAACAACCTCCCATCTTCTCGAAGTTCCCTTAGGATACTTTTGCATTGCTTTCCTAAGCATCTCAACCTCTTCCTTTCTCCATGGTCTCTCTTTTTTTTCATAGCTGTTCAATATGCTGCTAGTGCCTTCTGTTGCTCTACCTCCTGTAGAGTTGGATTTTGGAGCTGAACGCTCCACACCATTCGCTTCAATTTTCTTCGCTTCCTTTGAGGAACTTTCATTGTGAAGTGCATTGCTCATCAACCTGGCCTTTTCAGCTGCATCCTTGCCATCCATTCCATCACAGAGCTTCTTCAGCTGTTCCATATCAAGTTTAGCACATGTTGATTCAACATCTTCCTCTGACATACCAAAGCGGCTATCTGCAACCACAGGTGCTGCAAGAGTGCGCAAACGAGTTTTCTCTTTGCGGAGCAGCTTCTTCTCTTTCTCCTTTAGCTTCTTCTGATGTTGAGCAGCTTCTGCAGCTTTCTTAGACTCTTCTTCTTTCCTTATCCTTTCCTCTTCAGCAGCTCTTGCTGCTTCCTCTTCTTGCAATTTCTTTGCCAAATACTTCGCCTCCTTTCTTCTTTGTTTCTCAGCTTTGTCCTCCTCTTTCCTCCTCTGGATCCTTGGGTCTTTCTTATAAGCATTGTCCACAAGAGTGCGTACTCGCGCATATTCCGCCTTTTTGGCCTTCTCTTGTAGCTTTGCGTTCTGCCTCTCCATCCATCTCTTATGTTCACGAGATTCAGCTTGCTCCAAGTCATACTCATCATCATCTGGAAATTCCCTCCAACTCTTGAAGTTGTACCAGAAATTATAGAACTTATCAACCTCCTCGACAGGAGTAGCATCATCTCCTAGAGAAGGAATAGGCTGGGTAACAGACCAGCGTCCATTTCTCATGAAGGCTGGGCCAAAAACCTTGAAGAAGTCTTGTGGGGCACAGTCTGTTGGGACATCATCATCAAACTCATCTGTAGAGTCATAAATCCTCCTCTTTGTAGGGTCTATGAGGACTTCATAGGCCTCCTGGATGGCCTTGAAATGGCTCTCTATCTCATCCTTTTTTGCTTGTTTTGCCTCCTCTGTTGTCTCTGCAAGAATCAATGCAGCCTGTTTATCTGGATGATGTTTGAGAGCCATGTCACGGTAACTTTTCCGAATCTGATCTTCAGTGGCCAAGAACCTCAAGTGTCCCAACCCAAGCAATGCATAGTGATCCTGCTGTTGACTGCCAGATGACTTCTTCTTCCCTTTGCTGCTAAAGGTATCAGAAGCAGTATTAAAATCTTGGCTTTTGTCATCCGATGAGACACTGCGGTCATCAGTTTCTATGTCTTCATGCTGCCCAAGACCAAGAAGCTTCATTGCCGCAGCATGGAATGAATGACCAGCAGGTTCATATTTCAAAGCTTTTACAGGTTGGCAGTTTGATGAAACATACAAAGGCACTCCATCTACAATCTCCTGGGAGTAAGTGATCAGAAGACAACTCTTCTGGGACTCCATATGTCAATGATTTCAAATTGTTAACAAAGCTCCTGAGTCAAGATAAAATGATACAGCCTGCAGAAATTAACAAGTCATTTAGCCAGATACTTAGCAAATTAGTTCCAAATTGAAAAACATATAAAACAATTATAATTAGTAATCAGTGCAACCAAACAATGAACAAACATACAATAAGAAGCTAAGTTCCATCACCCAGTTGAAAATATGTGAAGTTCAGCCTTTAGCGTGCTGATATCTAAATTGATAACAAGTTGCATGCGAGGATCAAATACATGCAAAGGCAACTTGGTAGCTAAAACAGCATAAATGCTACTAGTATTCTGTATATTAAGGATTAATAATTATATGGTAAACCATGAGGCCATTAAGCACACTTGATGCCATTGGAATATGAAACCTAGGACACTTCAAAAAATGCAACCCCCTTTTTGGTTTGCAAGGCTACAGAACCTGTAAATGTTCAACAATGAGTGCACAAACCCTGTTGTGCCTCATTGTAATACATACATAACATAGAGAACATGAACAAATGCAGCACCTTTCTTTCAAATCTTAAGGCTACAGAACCCTTAATTGTTCAACAATGAGCGGACAGACCAACTGAAACGCTGAGAATATGTAACAAAGGAAGGGGATTTGAACAAACAGCCACTTTCTTCAATTTGGAATGTGTAACATAGGACATGTGAACAAATGCAGTACCTTGTTTTCAATTTTCAATTCTTATAAGGCTACAGAACTCTTAATTGTTTAACAATCCGCGGACAGACCAGCTTAAGCCCTGGGAATATGTAACCAAGAAAGGAGATTTGAACCAACGCAGAACCTTTGTTCAATTTGCAAGGTCACGTAACTCATAATTCTTCAACAAAGTGCAGTCAAACCAGCGCCAATGATTTTAACTTACAAGCAGGTAAACAAATGCAGCATGACATGGCAGTCCCGTGTGACATGGAGACAGTACTCTGCACACAATCTATAACGAATTACGAGAGCATGACATCCTAATCCTAATAACCACGAAACAAGCTCAACAAGACACAGAGTGGGGTGGGTAACCACCCGCTGCATACGCTCCCTTCAATTCAAATTCATCAGGTATCACAAATCCCCGTGGTGGAGCGCGTGTCATAAATAAAGCATCATCACTAATGGTAATGGGACGACGAGTTAAACCCCTTCCCCGCAATAAAAATCGAAGCCTCGAACATGGATTGGAACAAACGAAGGTCTGATCGGGGCTTCCTTACCGAGAGAAGGACCGGGGCCGACGGATCTCCCTCCGTTCCGCACGTCGGCTCGTTGGAAGGCGGCGGCGTGAGGGTCAGGGAGGCCGCAGGGAACTGGAGGAGAGGACGAGGACGGCGGCGATGCGAAGGATCGGCCACGCGATGAGGGGGCGTCGGGGATGGAGGCGATTGTGCTCAGGTCGCGGCGCCAACTATAAAACCCTAGCAGCCGGCGATAAATAGAGGCGGCGGTGGGGAAGGGAAGAGGGAAGGAGGGAATGACTTCCTTTTTCCGGGTGCCGCACGTTTCCTCTGCCCCTCACGTCTCTCTCTGATGGGCTGGGCTGAGCTAGTGTTGGCACTTTTGGGCTTTGGAGTGATGGAGGGCTAATTGTGACGGGTTAAGGCATGAAATGAAAATGAAATGAAAATGAAACCCCGTGAGAAACATCTTTTTTTGCATTCATTTTGTGTCAACATCAAATCAAATTAAATCTCTGTTGACACTCAAGATTGTCCCGACTTGGTTTGGGCACCTTCAACAAAGTTCTTGACATCATAATCATGGTGGAAGTCAATTGGCGCAACAAAATAAGGAAAGAAACACGTGAGCCACGACCCAGTCAGCTTAGGGGTCGGCTTAGCCGACTCTTTCAGCCCAGCTAAGCCAACTGCCCCTATTCAGCCTTGGCCAAGGGCCCGTAAAAGTCGGCTAAGCCGACTCCCCTGCTGGAAACCGACCTAGATTGTTTCTAAATCGGTTTTTGGTATATTTTCAATGTGGGAACTTGGAGATTATGATTTGGATATATATATATGAGAGGATCACGACTGATTGAGATCTCATCTATCCAATTGTCAAAATACATCTACTACCTCAATTTTTACCCTTTTTCCAACCCCCTATTGTTCGTTACATCTCTCCACGAGATTCGTCAGCATTCTAGACGGCCTTGTTGGTCCTAGAACAACCCTAGGCATGTTCCTTCCCGACGGGTCCCTCTCGGGAGACGATCCTAGGTTTTTGCGGTGTTGGATGGCCTCTAGATCGGTCTAACTGGTCTCTAGATCGGTTTAGTCGATCACAAGAGTTCTTTGCTACGTGTTGAAGGTTGATGTAACCTCGGCAAGCTAGCCCTTGCTGGTGTTTGATTTAGATCACAATCCAACGTCAATAATCTGTCAAACAGGTTGGGAGAAGTCTTGACCTAGAGGATCTGAGGATGCAGTTGGCCAATCAAAGATACACTCTTAATGTCATGGATTTATAATTTATTCTTACTCTCCGATAAGAAACAAAGCTAAAACTGAAGGTCGCCACTCTCTTATGGTGCTGGTGGAATGCTACAAACAAACAAATCAAGGGGAAAGGAAGTACACCACTGAAGAAATATGCAGCTCTGTTTTGTATCACTCTTGCCAAATGCAAAAGTAAAAATCAAATCAGCCCCTCTTAGGAACAAAACAGCATGAAAAATGGAGACCACCTCCAAATGGGTTTTACAAAATCAATTGTGATGCATAATAGAAAATATGGAGGATGGGGATGCATAATCCGAGATCACAAAGGAGCCTTTTATGGCAGCTGCTGCAGGGGCCTTTGTAATTTCTTTTAAGATCCCTACTTATAGATGGGCAACGGGCCTAGCCTTCGGTCATGCATGGCACTATGGGCCGATTTTCGTGCCGTGCTAGCCCGTTAGGACGGCCAAATTTGCGGGTCGTGCCAGCCCATAGCCCGATTCCCAGAAACTCCTCAAACAGCTCCTCAACTCAAACACTTTAACATTTTCACATTCACAGTTTCATTCATCATTCACAAAGGCAAAGACTGATCAGTTGAGTTCACAGTTTAATTCTTCATTCACAAAGGAAAAAACTGATCAACTCAAGTACTCAACCAAGATAACAAAACAGACTAACTCAAATCAAATGCATAAGCATAAGAGAAGAGATAACATAAATATTGAGCTGTTTGTGCAATGCTGCCTCATTAAAAACTTGTCTAGGTAAAACTCACCCTTGTGAGAAACTCTAGACAGGAAAAAAGAGTGCAGCCAGCTCTAAATTGTATTTATTAAGTTACAAACCATTGTTCAAATGCAAAAGATACAAGTGACAAGTTTCACACTCAACTCACAGTCTCACACAAAAGCAACTCTCATCTTCAGTCACTCTCACTCTCTCAGTCACCACCAGCAGCAGCACTTTCATCAACATCAAGATACAAGTTCTTGAATGATTCTTCGAGCTCTTTGTTGTCAACAACATGTTGTTCCCTCTTTTCTCCTAGCTCCTAGTCCTTCAAGCAGGTCAGCGTCTCAACAGTTTTAGGTAACAAACATCGGCACCACTCTTTAATGATCCTACCTGACAAGCTGAAACAAGATTCTGAAGATATAGTAGACATAAGAACTGACATAATATCTCTGGCCATTATAGATAGAATTGGATAGGTTAGTTTGTGGTCACGCCACCAGAGAAGTATGTCAAAATCATCCTCATAAGAAGTGATACAGTCATTGTCTAAATAGACTGAGAGTTCAGAAACAACAGAGGTAGAAGAAGATGAAGTGACCTAATACCGGGGCACTCAAGGAGGTGGAACTAATAACCATCGAACGTTAAACACTCCAGGACGGACAAGAGCACTACTACACTTCTTGCCCGAACGACGGGAGTTTGGTTCTACCTCGCCCAACGCCCGGGGGCCAGCTCTGTCTCACCCGGCGGCTGAGGGCTGGCTCCGCCTCGCCCGACGCTCGTGGGCCAGCTCCGCCTCGCCCGACAGCTGAGGGCCAGCTCCGCCACACCCGACGGCTGAGGGCTGGCTCCGCCGCCCGAGGGCTGAGGGCTAGTCTCCGCCTCGCCCGAGGGCTGAGGGCGGACCCCGCCTCACCCGACGTCCGGGGCCAGGCTTCGCCTCGCCCGACGGCTAAAAGCAAGACTCTACCTCGCCCGACGCCCGAGGGCGGGTTCGACCTCACTCGACGACTAAGGGCTAGCTCCGCCTTGCCCCGCGACTGCACTCTGATCCTTCCTAAAGACGAAACACAGGGTACGACAGGACATACGAGTCAACCACGATGTCGAGGGCCATGCCCTGTGCGACTGCAGGAAGGCACCGTCAGAACACGATGGAACGGGCGCTTTAAAGCCCTTTTCCTCATAAGAGTGTCCAAATAGTGTTGAGGGCGCCGGCTTTTGTCCCACAGTGTAGTAGGCGCCGCCTTCAGTCCTCGGGCATGGATACTAACACCGGCATACGACGACCGCTACGGTCCAAGACAGAACTCACATTATCTACAGTAACGGACGTATGGTCGCTTCACCGATTACTCCCCGAGGGGTCACTGCTCGGCTCTCCGGCACGCCGCACCATCAGCCGGCATGGGATGGGACGCACCCATTTGCTAAATGGGGCTAGGGCATGGCCTACGAAGATCAATAAACACGCCACTTCTGACACGGTCTGCCATGTTAAGCAGGGCAGGCGCGGGGAAAAAGGAAGACCCGGATCCTTCGAAGGACCTTCTATACCCTTGATATTTTCCTCTTTCTCCCATCTGTAACCCCTGCTCCTCCCTTGGTCTATAAAAGGGAGGGCATGGCTCCCCACTGAGGGGACCGACTTTTGCTGGACAACTCACAAAAAGATCAGTTCAACATAGGCACAACACATCACGCACGCAGCCAAGCAGCGACCAAGCTCTTGGCATTCTTTCGATCTTTTCCATCAGAGACTTGGGACCAATCCCTCTCTCGACC